TTTTTAATCCCAAGAGGCAACTGGACTTTCTGGTTTCCCTTGGAAGACGTTTCGCTTCTCATCCAAGAAAAGCTACTTCAGCTCCAATCTGAAGCTTCTTGGATGAGAAGCGAAACATCTTCCAAGGGAAACCAGAAAGTCCAGTTGCCTCTTGGGATTAAAAAAGTCAAAGCACCTTTGGGTTCACAGGCAGTAGGATCTGACAATCTCCATAGATACTGTCTGTGAATCAAATTCCCCAAATGTATTTTTCCTTTTTTTGCACTTCCTTAAGGAGAGCAACAGACAAGGATAGTGTGATGACCCAAAGGGGCGTGGCACAAAGACAACACAGCAGGGGTGGGATTCTACAGGTTTGCACCTATTTGCTAGAACCGACTGTTGACATACTAAGCAGTTCGGAGAACCGGTTGCTAGAAGAAATGACTGGGCTAATCCTGTCAGGAAGGCAGGAAGGAAACATTCTGGTGTTGCTTACAGAAACTGCCTCTCCGTTAACCCTTATTACATTCCTGGCAGGACTAGACTTCCTGTCTCAGGAACCTCTCTGGAGTTTTTTCCCCCTCCTTTGCTGGTACTTTGCTTGTGTGGAGTGACCATTCAAAGTTACAATGGCACTGAAAAAAGTGACTTATGACCATTTTTCACACTTACGACTGTTGCAGCATCCCCACAGTCACGAGAGGCCAGGCGGGGAGATGCGTGCCTCGATGTGAGTGATATTGAGTTGGCCACACCCAACCAATAACATGACCACCAAGCCATGCCCACCACCTAAGCCACACCCACAGAACCAGTTGTTAAAAATTTTGAATCCCACCCTCACAACACAGTCAAACAAGCAAGAAGAGTCCCTTTCATTATCTCCAACTTTTCCCCCAATGTCGGCCTCTCCCTCTGAATCAGATTCTGACGGGGGCACGACAGATCGTGTTGGCGAAACTTTTTGGCACCGAGTGCCGAAATGGAAGCGCCGGAAAGTGGAAGAGCAGCTCCACGGTGCGCATGCTCGTGCCAGGAAGCTGAGCTTCCGGTTTCTGGCGCTCCCACGCGCATGAAGAGCTGCCGGCCGGTGTGCATGCATGCACTGCAACCCAGAAGAGCAACGGGCAACGGCTGGCGTGCCCATCGAAATGGCTCGGCGTGCCACTTCCGGCATGCACGCCATAGGTCCACCATCACCGGACTAGGAGATGATTGGGAGGGCTTGTCCTCCAGCCGAAACCCTCAAAGTTTGGTCTTTCTTTCTTTCTTTATTTTTAAACCAAAAAAAAAAAACGGTGACACCCCCCTCCTCCCTTCTTCCCCTCCTCTCCCTTTCCTTTATCTCGCCGCAGCTGCGAAGAATGCAGGAGATGCTACAGAAAATGCAACAGCAAATTCAAGAGCAGTGAGAAGGAGCCAGGACGAAGAGAGCGACGGTGTGCGTGCGCGTGCGTGTATGTGTGTGTGTGTGTGTGTGTCTGTGCACACCATGGGGTCCATCCCGCCTTGGAAAAAAATCGGCTTCAGGAAACTTTTTCTTACGATCCAAACGAGGAGCCCCAACCCGCCTTCTCCCTCCAAGGCCGACGGTCTTGCAAGAGGCCTCAAGATGGGAAGAAGCCCCCCCCGCTCCCCCCCCACGTGCCCCTCGGTTCATCTGACAGCATCCTAGTATTTAAACGAAAATTTCTGCCGGAGGGGGGGGCGGGCGGGCGGGGGGCAGCGGCATATGAAGTGTGAGGACTCTATGAACGTGCGCGTCAATGTTTACGACTAACTACGGTGCTGTGATTTTCTTCCTCCTCCTCCTCCTCCTCTTCCTCCTCTTCCTCACCTTCTTTTCCATTCGTCCCCTTCCCCTTTCTTAATACCTGCCCTTTTTGTTGGGGTCGGGTGGGGGTGCGAATGATGACCTTCTTTCGCATATCTGAATGAAACGTTGGTGGGACTTCCTGGGGCAGATTTGATTTTGCTTGGAGAACTTTTGGTTCTTTCCTCCCGCCTAATTTGAGATAAGGAGCAGCAAGTTGACTGTGTTGAGGTCAAGGTGTTTGTTGGAGGGTTCCCGGTTGATTCTCCGTCCTGCTCTAATTCTCTCGAGAAATACTTTCTGGGCAGGGTGGAGGAAGCGGCGGACTAAATTTTGTGGGTCAGAATGCAAAGTTTTGTGCGTCAAGACTCAGAATGCAACATTTGGGGAGTCTTTAGGTAGCCTTTCTCTCCCTAGTTGGCTGAATTTTCCAAGCTTTGCACCTGGACTTTTGAGATTTTGCCTTGTCTTCGCATGCAAATCTATATTTCCCTTCTGGCTGAACACAGATAAAAACGGGATCCACCGTTAAAGATCTACGTCGATTCCTAAGCTGCTTGGTGGATTCTTTGCAGGGTGTCCCAATTTCCACTGAGCAGGAACAAAACCTGAACCCAAAGTTTCTTTTGGGGGCTCCCTTGGAGTTCAGTCATTTTTTCTTTCTTTCAATGCAAAAATACTCCCCTGTATGAGAAGCTTGGTTTGTTGGTGCATTGTGGGTTTTGTAGTCTTGCCCCTCCAAATAATTTTATGAAGAAGCTTAAATTAAATAAAGCAAGCACCAAGGGTAAGGAATACAAAGGGCAAAACATGAAAAGGAACCAAGTGAGCCAAAGAAAGGGGAAAAAAAGATTGGACCCAGCAAGTAAAAAGTTTAAATTAATTCATAGTTTATCAGCCTCTCAAATACAACCTCACCTCTCTCCTCCTTCCCCTTAATTCATTAAGAAAGAAACTCAGTGCAGAAAAGAAAGGAAAAACAGAAAAAGAATAACGGCCCCACCCTCCTAGCAAATTAAAAATAAAATTAACAGCTTGCCAGCATCTCTAAATATAACCTAATCTCCTCCTCTCCATAGCTCAACTCTTAAGGGCGGAAAAGTAAAACCAGAACAAAATTATTAAGCTTCATCTGATGTTCCTTGTCAGCAAAAAAATAAAAATAAAAAAAAAATCCAACAAGGGAATTCAATTTGAATTCTTTTTCTTCCATGGCTGTGCAATCCAGAAAGGGAAGCAGCTGCTTTGAAAGGTTGCAAAGAGGCCCTGTTAATCGCCCTACATCCCGGAATGTCCCATTTTGCTTTAAATTTGAACTACTAGGAACTTTCTCTCCTTCCTCCTATTCTCCCCCCCCCCTTTTCTTTTCCTTGCCAACCTGGTGCTGCAAAGCCTTTTCTTGGCTTTCTGTTTTTGGTGTGTGTGTGTGTGTGTATGTGTGTTGTTTTTAAAGCAAGAGGAAATGATAACACTTCAGCCTGTTGAATTGAGATAAAGATCCCCCCTCTCTATACGCAGCAATGCACATACCCAGCTGGGTACTTTTTTTAAAAAAAAAAACGTAGTTTTGTGCCCTCTTGACAAAAGATACACTTATTTTCCCCCACACCAACTAACTACTCTAAAATAAGAAAGTAAGGCACTCATACTCCCACACCTTCACCCAAACTCTGTTACACTCCGCATTTCACAATGTTCCACCCTCCTTCCCCATTCCAAGTGGAGGATGTTATTTGGAGACTGAACGGCCAGAAAATCTGGGGAAAGGACCCAAAATCCAAATATAATTTGATTCCCGTGTCGGTCCACCCAAAATGCCATCAATAACAAGACTTCCCGTCTCTTTAGAAGTTAAAATTCGTCTTTTGGCAGGGGGGAAGGTTTCTGAGCTGCTCTAAAATTCACATTTTTCTTCTTTGGTGTGAAAGAAAGCGAAGTGGTTTCTCAGCCCAGTCCCCCAAGTTGGCAGCTGTAATCATGGTTTAAAACTGGCTTGGTTGCCAATTCAACCCAAGATCTTTGGTTAGAAGAAGGCTAAGCTGGAGACTTCAGGGAATTGAGGTCCACACTTCTTCTCCAAGCTGCCAAGGTTAAAGGAACCCTGGTTGAAACCCAAATCGTACAAAAACTGCATTAGTGTGTGTGTATCTTTCTCTGTGTGTGTGTGTGAGTCCCTAGGTACGTTGCGCTTTCAAGGGGAGTGTGTATGAAGCCTAACTCTGTGCTTATGTGCTGATGTGCACCCATGATCTCCTGGCCCCACTTCGCATGCCTTTATTTATTGGTTTTCCTAGAAAGAAAGTGTCGTGGTGGGGGCTATTCTTCGTGGCATGGATGGTTTATTGGGGGGGGAGGCTGCTCCTTCCCCACCCCCCACCCCATGGGGCCCCTCCCTCCCTCCCTTCCATTCCAAATTCTGACTCTGCCTTCTGTCGCGTCGCCTTCTGGCTTTCCTTCGTGCATCGTTCCGATTTTTGTAAATATTCGGTGGGATATTTCGTCGTGGTGATGCGAGACCTTTTAAAGATATCTGTTTTATTAAAAATGAGGATGGCGATTGGAATATATTAATATAATGTTTGCTACGACCTTGAACGGATCGAAAGAAGTAAAGGAGAAAAAGCGGAAACGAGTCGCATCTGGAGGACTGATTTTTTTGTTGTTGTTTAATGTTGCCTTTGAAATGCAATTGGGAGAAAAACTCACAACGCCTTCGGCAAAGCAGAAGGAGAAAAGAATGGGTGGGGATCCTGGTCTATTCCTGTTGGTGCCCCATCCTTTTAGGGATAGAATGGTCATTCGTTTGAAAAGTTTCACGATGAAGAACTTGGGGTTTACAGGTAGACTTGTATACCGCTTCTCAGAACTTTACAGCCCTCTCTAAGCGG